GAGAGAGAGAGAGAGAGAGAGAGAGAGAGAGAGAGAGAGAGAGAGAGAGAGATTTCAGGCAGTGACTATTTCGGGTCTATGAGCGCCCAGGATCCGATTCGACATTTTCTAGGACAGACATTGGTTGGACATTTGGCGGGGAGACTTTCTTGGACGACTACGAGTTCTACTCTTGTCCTCTCTCCCCTCTCCATCTTCGTCTCTCGTCCCTCTTCATCATCCGTGGTTTCTTCCCCATGTGTGTGCGCAAGGAGGGACCTTCTTGTGAGTGACATGTGTGATGACGATGGTGTGAATCGAGTCTGGATCTGACTTGTCAGGTCATATCTTTGAGTCTTCCACTGCACTACATTTATTACATCATTTTGTTTTGCGTCCTGTTCATCACACTGATGAGCATGCATCACTTTTTATTCCTTCCTCCTCCCCCTCCCACCCTTCCTCCTCCCCCTCCCACCTTTCCTCCTGACTCCTGATTTTGTAACATCCCTGAAGTGGCCAAATACAACTACTGTCACCTTTTCACTATGTTCGGAGGCTCAGACAACAGAGAACTCGCAGCACAATCACAGAAGCAGTGATCATTTTTGGGTAAGCAAATGATCACGTAGAAGAGATGCACAACATAGGATCAACTTCAGTCAGGCCAATTCTTGCCACCTTGGTCCCAAACTCCTCTACTCATAGGATGCAATTGCCAGAGGACCACCAGTTCAACTGTTTCAACGCCTCAGCAGCTTCGTGAGACACCATTCAGCGCCAAAACCCATGCCCACAACCTCTTCCTCCCACTTCCTGGCCTCAACAGCAAAGTGCATTCCCACCATTCCCTTGTAAAGTCTCATGCTTGCTTATACATCATGCAGTGTGTCGCACAGAGTCCAGATAGGACGTTACCACAGCCTTGGAATGCCAAAATTGTTACGGACTCCGCCAGGGCTCGATCCCTGGTCTATCATTTTGCTGTTTCGGCTGCATCCCGTTTTCGGCCTGGCACCCTTTTTCCAAACCCCTCCTTTGGTACCGTAGGATTTGGACAACTGGCGCCATGCTGCAATTTGGGCGCCACTTTCAAATACCGCATTTTTCAGTTCTGCCCTCGGGGCCTCTGCAGAAATGCCCCTGGTACCGTACGTGTCACCGGTACTTATACCGGCTCCCCGTATGGTACGGGAACCAGTCTCCTACCAGTTTTCTGCTGCTGTACTCGTACTCAGTGTGACTTGCTGTTTCGGCATTCGGAATCCAAGACTTCGACTTTGTGCATTGCCACTGTGTCTGCGTCCGACCCTCAGTCGTGTCGAGTGAGTGAGTGTGTGTGTGTGCTCTCACTCTCTACCTCTCTCTCTCCTCTCCCTCGGATCTCCCTCAGCCTCACGCCTGTCACACTGGTATCGGAGCGGTTCGAACCCGCCCGACCCACCCTGCTTCGTCGTCACCACCTGTCCATCATCAGCATCATCGTTGTGATCGTCGTCGTAGTCCCATGTCATCGTCGTGATCGTCACCGTCGTGCCACATCATCATCATCATCGTCGCGATCATCATCGTCGCGATCATCGTAGTCGTGCCACGTCGCCATCGCCGCGCCCGTCGTCCTCGTCGCCGCGCCGTGCCATCCTCATCATCGTCGTTGCTACCTCCGCACGGATAAGTAATCGACGGCGATTTTTTTTTTTTTTTTTCCCTTCTTCTTTTTTCTCTTCGTTCTTTTCTTATTCTTTTCTTCTTTTTCTTCTTCTTATCCTCTTCTTCTTCTTCTTCTTC